TTCCTCTCATCTCTCTTCCTCTCTCTCTCTCTTTTAACCTTTTGCATGCATTTACCTCGCCCACCCTCGCCCGTCCCCATCGTCCTGAGATCTGCTCTGGTCGTTTCAGATTTCTGTTATTTCGAAACAGCTTCTGTCCAAAAACCTCCCGTCTGCTTCACATTTTTTCTTTCTTACCTCTCACTCAGTCTTTTCCTCTCGTCTTGTCTCACCCTCTCCCTCCTTCCTGCCTCTCCTCTCCCTCTCTGGTCGGTTGACCCTGGGTAACAGAGATGATGACAAGGTGTGAAAGGTTTCCTGAGGGCTCTGAGTGACAGCAGCAGTCTCTCTCACACACACACACACACACACACACACACAGTTGGCCAGATGGTGACTGCTCTTTGCGTCGCCCAAAGCTGCAAACTGCTCAGACCAGAATACAGAACACACTCTTAGATCTTGCTGAAGATTTAAAAGCACAGAAATGTAAATAAAATGTGGTAGTTTTTATCAAACTGGAATATTTTACAGTATATTTGAGTATAGTAATATTACAATATTAGTACCTGAACAACAATTTTTATCATTAGCAGTATATATATTAATTTAACTGGATATATTATTATATTATCCATATTTCAGATTCAGTTTATGTTAAAATGGTTAAAGACTTTCTACTCCCAACCCGATGTCACAAGGAATTATGTCCATATTATCCCGAGTCCAAACCTCACCATTGACATCCTGCACTGGTACTGAACATTACATTTGGAAGTGTTGTGCTTGTTGTGTAGCGAGGCCTTTATTGCCTCTTAAAAACCAGTTTAGAGATATGAGGTTTTAACTTGCATGCTGTGACTCCAGTGTGAGAGGTTTTAACTTAATAGCAGCCTCGCTCACATTAAGGAAGAAACTCAGGATGGGTTTTTTTATTATTTTGTTGAAGTTGTTGTTGCAAAATGAGACATCCATCACTTGAAAAATGCGGCTCTGCCTTTTAGAAAACGACCGCTGACACTGAAGTGATTCATGGAGGAACGTTATTGAAGCTATTAGCCTCAGCCCACACACACACACACAAATACAAACACACTGTGGTGTGCAGATGCTCAGGAACACACACAAACAAGAATGATAGTGTGCTAATGTTAAACTAAATTACATATAATTACGCAGCCAAATCTAATTCTCAGTTACAGATGGAGGGAAAACACCACATGCCTCCAAATGTGAACAATTAAAGGGAGAACTGCCGCCATATTTCACATCACACAGACCTTCAGTTCATTTGCATTTTGAGACCCCCCCCAAAAAAATGGCTCCAGATTCAACACATTTTTGGACACAAGATTGTGAATTTTTGAGTTTTATAGCAGCATGTCTTTAACTATTTATATATTACTCTCAGTGTTTAAATGATTTAATTGGTACTTGATAATGCTGCATGTTGTCTCACTGTTACTGAGTACCAGCTAAGGCTGTCGCAGTAACCGCAATAATGAAATATTATTAAATATAACGCAACGTTATTTCAACCCGTCATGTTCAGTATTAGTATCTGTATCTGTTTTTCACAACAAGAAAGTCAAATACTGACTTATGCATTTTAAAATTGTAATCCTGCTCAACAAGCCCTATTTTTACTGAATGTAACTCTCTACGTTGTATGTATGCAATTTAATGGATTACCTGTTTATTTATTTTAAGAGATTTTGGGTCAAGCTCGGGCCCAAAACCGCTTCCATGGTTCAGACTTGGTTCTGGCTTGCACAGTTTTCAACTTATTTGGTTCAGTTCGAACAAACTGGTGAAAAAGCTGTCGATCAAAATCAACAACCACACTCAATTTGCTTGAAAACATACAGCTCCGTGTTTTACCCTGCGGACTCTGGTTCAGATTGTTTGTGGTGTGAAAGTTGTAGATCTGTGATTTTAACCTGAATTTAAAAGAGGATCTATGAATATGTTCATCTGCTAAAATGACCCGTTTTTATATTTACAGTGTTTATGAAGGATCATTTGGTAATGATGGTAGAATGGACATTGTTCAAACAACATTTAAAACTTCCTCATTAAAAATTAATCATATTTTCATCCGAAAAATAAATAATAAAATGTTGTTTGAACCCTTTTGAATAAAGTCTGAATAATAGCTCAACTGAATGTACATTTGGGGTAAATTATTCATTTATTCTTTTGATAGAAATATATGTAGCCTCCTGCTGAGCTTGGAAACACAATAAGATACAAGGCTGGACACAAAACTTCCACATTAAAGATTCATTATTACCGGAAATGGCCATTCGGGGACGGATGATATTATATATAATCACTGCTGTAAAATATCAGATATTTTACAAAATGGTTTATTTGTTAGAAATCTATATTCTATAGATTGAAATATCTGAGTGAAACAGGCACTTTAATGGGAATCTGCTTTGCCATACACTGTTGGACTTAATGTTATTGGCTAAAATATCTGGCTGTGCAAAGGGCAACATTTTGGTCGTCTGGGTTAAGTTGTTCCTGATACTGAAGAAATAGAATGACAGCCAAAGAAAACAACAAAAAACAAAGCCCAATCAAAAAAAAGTAAAGATCGGTGGCGAGAATCAATAGCAATGAGGTTTATTGATTTCTTTCATTTCGTTCATTGACATCATGCAGTGAAAATGGTGTCGAGTTTGATTCTGATTCTGCCCACACAGGTGGAGGTACAGAATGAGCAGCTGTTGTCGTATCGGGTTAATACTGAGAGACCAGTTTGTCATTATTTACGTTGTCGTTACAGTGAAGACTCATAAATGATTAAACCAGAGAGACTTCATGAGAAATAGTCAACGCAGTAACAGAATCTGGATCCATATCTGATCAGCACTGCCAGTTTGATCTAAGTTTGGTGCTTTAAGATAGACGGACTTACTGAGAACCGAGGCCTGTCAATCACGAAGTAGCGCGCGCTGCCGCCTAAAGCCATACCCTGGCTTCTGATGGGCATCTGTTACACCTTAACTCTAAATCGCGGGACGCAATCATGCTGTATGGAAGAAGTTTTTTTTATTGCAGCCAATAGAGCGCCCCCTGCGGGCCTTCACAAAGAAAGCAGGTTTAAGACACTTCGTGTTGGCTTCACTTCACAAACCCAGAAGCTCTGTACTCTGTTAACTGTCACTGTTAATGGTCAATGCTGTAGATAAAAGCCATAGAGCAGTGCTGTAGATACACAGTGGCAGGCATCTGATGCATTTCTTAAATTTCCTGAGAGGAAAGCAGCTAGCAGAACTGAGGGTTACATCATCAAAACTATCCAATCAATGAGTTACCTGACAGTCCATGACAGTGACTTTGTTTAGTCTTTTGATTAAAGTCAATGTGAACGCAGAACTCATGAGTGCGCATGCGCGAAAAGCTGCATGCTGCCTGTTACGTTACTCCAGCCTTTGAG